TAAATTTTAAAAATCGATTTTTTAAATTTTTATTTAAAGAATAAAAAAAATCACCAACCCTGGAAATAAACCAACGACAGAAATGGCTACTTTGCACCATGATTTCAAGAACAGATAAAATGCCTATGAAAATAAGAGTGGTCTGACATAGGTCTCTTTCTTTAGTTTTAGTAGAGCTTTTACGGGCACTCGCAACGGCGTAAGTTCATATGAGCACCAAGGGGTGGGTGTCAACAGAGAAGTCAATACAAGCGCTCTCGTGGCCTAGAGGTTAAGGTGTTTGCCTCTCATTCAAAGGTCCCGGATTCGAATCCAGGTAGCGACCGAAAAATGATCTTCTCTAAAATTGTTTCCTTTCACCTCTCTAGCATTTAGCAATGTTCTGTTGTCTGCTTTCGTCTCCACTTTCTAGCCCCACCTCGTCACCTCCTTAGCCCCCCTCCTCTGGACTCCTGACTCTTTCTAAAGGCTTTCTACTGCCATTCCTTAGCTCCTTACTGTTGTCTTTACTTATCTTCTGGTAGGACAGAACTTCACCTAGCCTTCTTGGACAAGGGCTAAAAATCTTGGAGGTCTCGTGTGCAAGTTGCGCACGTTAAAGATCCCTTGGTGGTCTAAAATCGATAAGAGTAGGCTTCGGCCGCCGACCGGGCAAAATTCAAAATTTCCTACCAACTGAAAATGTTTAATGTGTCCGGCGCGCTTATATAACCTTAAGCAATTGTGAGCGCCGTAAAACACTTACCAAAAGAAAGAGGAAGAAGGAAGATGTCAACACGGGGAATCAGGCTTACTCTGCTCACCTCTCTAGCTTCAACAGCACAAAGTCTGCTTCGACTAACAAGGCACCCAGGAAATAGCAGGTGACAAGAGTGTGACAAACATACAAAAGAAGTAGAGAAAAATGATTGCAGTAAAGATTCGGAAAGAAAAGAAACAGTTCCCCTTAGCAATTCAGGCACAGTTACGAGCATGACATTGATGAATCAGCCCATTTACAATTCTACTGTTCATAAAAAAAATGTTAATGTCCCCCTTTGAGAATGGCCTACAGACACTTCAGTCAGTAGCACCTCCCCGAGGGGTACATAGATCTCGGAAAAAAAACAGGACTTTTCTTTTTCAGAAAATAAACCTATGAACTAGACGTCGGTTCCAGTTACGAGAAAATTCACCAGAAAACTGTTCGGGGATTTAAACCTTTGTTTGACGATGAGAAGAATCCCAAAGGAAGAATTATGTTCTGAATTGTCTTCAGGGAAGCGTAAAGTTGGCGCACAAAAAAGGACTACCCAAGACACCCTGAAAATGCCTCTGAAAGACTTCAATATTAATCACTCCACATGGGAAAGCCTGGCTCCTGACTGACCCAGTTGGAGACAGCCAGTCATATGTATCAAATCCTTCTGATTTTGTTGTTGTTGTTATTGTTGTTGCTGTTTCGTTTTTGCGTTTTCTTCTTTCCCTTTTGCCGCCTCATTTAATTCTTCTTCTCATAACAGCCATAGTCGTGGGAGGTTGGAGGGTGCTCTCATGCGGTTTGCTCCTTCTTTCCTATCAAATATCTACCGTCCTTGTCGCTCCTCTTTCTTTTTGTGTTTGTTACTCATCACTGACTCAATGAGCACACTACAGAAGATACAGAAAGGGATGCTGTATGTGGACTGGAAGGCTACGATCATGGAGAACAGCCTGGAAAGAGTGGCCTGGATCTTCTGCCCGGGCCACGAAGGGGAAACTGGCAACGAGAGAGCAGACAAGCTGGCTGGAGAAGCAAAAGTGGGAGGGAATTTGATACTGGACCCACCAACCATCCTAAGGGAAAATTTGAGGAAGAACAGGGCAGATAGCGGTTCCCACACCCTAGGTAGATTGAAGGAGAGGGGGGTCCAAAGAGGAGAAGAGAGGGGAAACACAGCCATCTGTGCGGATGAGTCCGACGGATCTCCAACCACATTATGATAGGGACTATAAGCAGACAGACTCTGGGATGGATCCTGAAGAGGAGGGGGGGGGAGAGCAGAGATGGACATGGTCCGACTGTAGTGACCCCAACACTGTAGAAAAGGTGTGACAATGTGTGTATTTGTTACTCCCTTGTAATACCTCTAATCTTCGGCAGTTATACAACATTATTATGTTGCAAGTGCCGTAAAACTCTTATTTTTTTGTCCACAGATATTTACATCGCTACCGAAGGTGATATTAAAATAGAAGGCAGCCATTCGATCACTATGGAGCTCACAGTTGCGTTGATTCTGGAAACTGCTGTCTGCATCGCTTTGTATTATATGTGCGGGTAAACAAATCAATGTCCTTTCGTTAGTTTTCCTGTCTGTAAGCGTAAGAAGAATACCCGTCGAAAACCCATTTATATAGCGCATATTATAGGTGAGTATATCATTTTATAT